TAACTCTCGAAAGACTGCAGCAGAAGAGCAGCAGTTGTTATCTATTTGCTTCCTTTAAAGGGTCAGAGTTGGGCTGTACGTGCTGCAGGCTGGGAGAGTCAACAGTGCTGAAGGAAATCATGTACTCATGTGCAATTAAATGCTTGTTGCATCTGAGCTCTCTGGCTCTCTGAGGCTTTTCTGAAAAATCCCAATGCCTGCAATGAAGGTAATAAAAGTCTTACTCCAGTTCACAGCTGTTCTGGTAGGTGAAAAGTGAGTAACTGGTCTATTGTCTAAGATTATACTGGATAACTGGATACAAGGAACAAGTATTTTACAATTGGGTAGTGAAGAATGGGAACAGGTTGCACAGAGGGATGGTGGTTGCCCCATCACTAGAGACATTCAAGGTCAGGCTGGACCAGGCTCTGAAGGCTATAAAAGGCTGCATTTGCTCTTGGCTGCTCCCACAGCACAGTGTGGCCACAGCAGAGTGCCCACAGGGACAGACTGACCCATGGGAAAGATGGGCACTGGAGAAGGAGAAGGATGGATCAAGCACAGGGCAAGCAGCAGGTTGGCATCTTCTGGCCAGACGTGTATCTCAAAAGTCAGAGTCTTGCATGGGGTTTCATAGAATATCCCAGATTGGAAGGGACCCCTAAGAATCGTTGAGTCCAAATCCTTTGGGGAGGCTAACTTGGATCCTTCATTTTAGAGCTGTGGGTGAAGGAGGTGGACCTGTGCTTACAGATGGCTCTTTTTTTTAGTGGAACAGGTTTTGTTTGGAGCCTGTTAGAGACAATAAACAGGAAGTCCTGCAATGACATTTTTATGGAGCTGCTTTGCAGAGTGGGGCTGAGCTTAAAATCCAAATTTAGTTTATTTGAGTGGGAGCGGCCTCGTTATTAATGTCCACTCACTTTCAAGGCAACATAATGAATTTTGGCTCAGGCAGCTCCCGTGTCCATGCAAACCCATACTCTGGGTCTGTCCTGGTACCTCCCCAAAGGCCCTTTACTCTTCCATTGGTCTATGTTGGCATTTGTCCTTTAAGACCTCAGCTGCACTGTTTTTGTGTGGAGTTAATTAGCAAGCTGTATTCTGCAGCAGAGATGACTTAATTTTAAGGCTTAAGTAGCTTTGTACATCAGGCCATTAAATTTTTCTTGGAAATAAACACAGAGCTATAAACCTAAAATTGTGCTCTACTGTGGTGCGAGACACCAGAATCTTAAATGAAAGGATAGGAGCAGTTCTGGATAATAACTAACATGTGATAGCAAGTGATGAGGAGGGGCTGTGGGCTGGGTTTGTGCAGCCTAAAGACAGAGCCAGAACTGGTTGTTGTGTTTGACTCTAAAGGGAGGATTCAGAAGAGATAGAGTTAGGAGTACCTTTTAGTGCATTTCCCTTGCCGTAGGAGAGCTCTGTGCATTGGGTTAAGATCTAAATGGTACCCTGCCAAAACAAGGCTATTCCCTATGTTTTTCCAGTGCTTGTTTTATGTCTCCCATGAGGCAAGTGTAGTTATTTCCCCCAAGAGGCTCTGACTCTATCAGCTAGGGACCAGCAGCTGGAGCTCTTTCTCACTACAAACTTCTACCACTCTTCCCTTTGCCTTCACCCTGTCCATCAGAGCCCTTTCCACGGGCTCATGTCATACATCCCAGCTCCTCCTTCCCACAGTGTTGTTACACAAAGCAGCATCTCAGCATGGTGCCTTGGAAAGGGCTGTTTTCTCTCCTGAGCAGAATCTTCAAAGTTGTTATTGCTTTTCCAACAGCAAACACCAAGCAAATGGAAACGTTGGCTGATTCTGCGTGTAAAATTCTTGAGCATCGACGTGTGCTTTGAAATGCTTTCACCCCGCTGCCCTGCCCAAGGGGTACCAGATGTTGGGGGAAGCCTGTCAGCACTAATGTCAGAGGGACCTATGGGTCCCCCCATTTGTCAGAGTTAGCCATGAAGGTCAAGGGGCAGGTCGGGAAGCTCTGCGGCTGGTAGATGTAAGCCATGTTATGGCTCCTATACACCACCACCATGTACTAAAGGATTTGTCTCCCTTGTCCTTACCAAGTCCTCTTCCATCAACAATGGACCCAGTACATGCTGAAGTCAGAGAACACTGTCCACACAAATCCCTTCTGTTCTTATACTGTCATCCCTATAGCCTGAGTCACGGTGCCTGACTGCCCCACGTCAGTGTAGAATCCTTTCTGCATCACCTTTTCCTGGCAGCTGCTGGGCCTCAGGCTGCTTCTTACCTTTGAGATTAATGAAGGCATCTTGGAGGGATATCTAGGGATGAGCAACCACAGCTGCTGGGGAACGCAACCACAGCTCAGAGCTACCACCATGGCTCCATGCCCCACACTGATGGGCTGCTTTAGCTTTGCTGATCTGTAGTCAATGCTGCAGAAATCTGGTCAAACCAGCCCTGACCACTCCAAAGCATTCATAATGACTGGGTCAGGATCACGGATAATGAGTTTAGGGCTGCTCTAAAGACGTGTCAGATAGGATCCATGTAAAGAGTGGCCTATAATTGACCCTTCTGCTGACATCTGCACTCTGCACCTGGGGAGTGCAGTGTGGGGAAGGAGTGGGCCCCGGGGCACATAGCGGATGAGGGTCAGTGGTCATCCCTAGGCACAGCTGCTCTGCAGACCTCTTCCCCATTGCTCATGGCCAGAGTTGGCTAAACCTCTGAAAGAAAGCAAGAGCCCAAGATCCTATCCTCACAGCCTTCTTCCTCACTGCCTTCCCTTCCTCATCACTGTTGGGCAGCTTAGGGATGCAGGAGGCTCTTTGCAGGGGGAGTGCTTTCTGTCAGCCTCTTCAACAGGAGGCTGCAGAAATACCAAGGCACTTTTATTCCACTTCCCTCCTTTTATTTATTTATTTTTCTTCCTTACCCCTGGAGCTACAAATGAGGGCAAGAAAAATGCAGGAGCATGCATTGTTTTCTTTTCCCCCCACCCAGTGCTGTAAAATACCCCTTAATGGTTGGGAGCAAGAGGATCTCCAGGCTGGGCCTCCACTTTGTGTTTGCAAGTTTATTTTTCTTAATTCATCCTTGACAAAGGACAGAGCCATAAAAGACCCGACCAGCACGTCTGTGGGAAAAAACGGCCCTGAAAAGGGTCGGAGGAATACTGCCGCATTTACAAACAATCCCGAGGGCGAAAGCCTCTGTGAAATGCGGCTGCAGTTATAAGTCGCCTTTCTAGGAACAAGCCTACATCTGTTTGGCAATGCCATATTTTGTAGGGTAAAATAAACCCTTGAGAACAAACAGGCCAGCTTCTTCAGAGGGGTAAATGTCTGAGAACAGAGCTCGCTTGTTAATCCTAAAACTGTCAGCAGAGACCCGCTGCAGAAATTATAGCCGGGCATGGGCACTCGAGCCGTTTCTCCTCGCCCCCCTCAGCACAACAGCTGTAAAACCCTCTTTGTTGTTCTCCTGTGGCCGAGGGGCTTTGCAGAGAGCTCTCTGCTGGGGCAACAAGTGGTGACACTGGGTGCTAATCGGGAACCTGTCCCTTGCCAGGAGTTATTAATGGCATGGCACAATGGCGTTGTGCCGAGTGCCTGGCAAAGAACCGGGCTGAAACCCTCTCCTAGGGGAATGACCCCCATCAGCCATCTAAAAAATGCTTTACAATGAAGCTCAGGCTGTCCCTTGTGCTTACAAAGGCTGAAAGGTAGATATCAGCCCGTGTACTGAGAGTGCGAGGGCACGGATCTCACCACTGGGAGAAAACCAACGTTGGATGCTTGGAATATTTAACTGCCTGCAACAGATAATTAGCCAAACCCTCTTACGCCTCCAAATATAGATTCATTAGTCATATGAAAATATCTCATTGGAACCAAATGTGAGTCATTAGTGAAGTCAACGGCAGATCATAAAAAAGGTACTGAGAGCCTTGAGAAATCGTGAGCATGCAGCAAGAATAACTCAGCGCGTTGTACACGGAACATCTGCTCACAGGGACTGCCGTGTCCCCATTCCCACCGTGAGATGTGCAGCAGGAACACAGAGCGGGCACTGGGATTCTTCTTCCTCTTCTTTTTAGCCTTTAAAGGGAGAGGGACTCTGTTTGGTGAAACCCTTGTAAAAATGGAATTATTTTGGGGGGAAATCTGGGGAGTGGGGTGGGAACGTGTGCTTAGTGCTGGGGGGTATAGTAGGGGTTTCCCATCCCTTTTTGCACCCATTGGTTCCATAAACATATTGTGAAGCTCCACTGCTCCATGCTGGGAGTTGAGTTGCACGAGGGGCACTTCAGCTTTTCCTTAATTTGAAAAGGAAAGCACAAGGAGCAGAAAACCTGCAGCAGAGAATGGCAAATGTAAGTGCCATGGCACTGACATTGCCCTGGCTGACCGAGCTCAAACTCAGAGCATGGCTTGAACCATCTCATCCCATGACGACACGATCAGACTTCCCAGTTCCATCAGTCAGGTTGCGACCCCTTGGCTTTGCTATTCAGTTTCTTAAGTAACTAATCAGTGTAACGCCCCCCGTGCTTTGAAACCTCTGGGTGAACTGTGACAGCGGAGCAGGGGGAGTGGAGTGCGCTGGGGCTTAAAAAGGGGAGTTTTACACCGAAGCACCGAGCCTGGAGAGCGTCCCCTCTTCCTGAGGGAAAGCACTGCGGAGGGCTGTCCCCAAGCCCCCACAGCCGGACCCGACCCCTGGGACGCCCCCAGCCCCATTCCCGGCTCTCTTTGCGGATTCCTCCACACCGGGGCAGGGTCCATTCTCGAGGTACCCCCGCAGCCACCACCTCCCCCTGTCAGACCCCCCTTTGCCCAGCCTCTCGCACGACCCCCACCGCGGGTGGGCGGCTCTAGGACCCCGCGGCGCCGCGGCGGCGCGCCCGGCCCCGCTCCGCACCGAGCCGCGCCGTGCCGCGCCGTGCCGTGCCGTGCCGCGCCGCACCGCGCCGCGCCGCCGGGGGGCCGAGCGGCGTGTCCACCTGCCGGCCCCGCCGCCCGTCAGTCCCGCCATGGCGCTCGGCGGGGTCGGTCGCGGCGGCGCGGCGCGGGCCGCTTGGCCGCGGTTGCTGCTGGCGGCGTTGGCGGCGGCGCTGGCGCTGGCGGGGCCGGCGCTGCCCGAGGTGCTGTTCCGCTGCCCGCCCTGCACGGCGGAGCGCCTGGCCGCTTGCTCCCCGGCCGCCCGGCCGCCCTGCCCCGAGCTGGTGCGGGAACCGGGTTGCGGCTGCTGTCCGGTGTGCGCCCGCCTAGAGGCCGAAGCCTGCGGCGTGTACACCCCGCGCTGCGCCGCCGGTTTGCGCTGCTACCCCGACCCCGGAGCCGAGCTGCCCCTGCAAGCCTTGGTGCAGGGACAGGGCACCTGCGCCCGCCGCCGCGACACGGCCGAGTATGGAGCCAGCGCCGAGCGCCCCGCAGGTGAGCGACGGCCGGGATCCGGGGAGAGAGGGGACCCCTCGGGAGGGCAGGGGACGGGGGATGCATGAGGGGGGAGCGGACAAAGGGGGTAGGATAGGGTGGGAGTGAGGGGAGGATGGGTGTCCGCGGTGGGGTGAAGAGGTTGCTCGGGGTTGCAGCTTTCCCTGGGGGAGTTTTCCTTTTGTACGGGATCCACAGAGGTGGGGTGTAATGGGATTTGTTGAGGGCAGCTCCCTGTCCGAAGGAGAGGGGAGCCGGGCTGCGGGGGGACCGGGTGGAGGTTGGGGTCCTCCGGAGGAGAAGTCTCCCGGGGCAGACTGAGGGGACATGCGGCTGGGGGTGGGGACTGCGCCGGGCTGGGGGGCCTAAGGGGCACTTTGGGCTTGGTGGGGAACTGGAAACAGCGTGTAGGGTGACGGATGCCCCGAAGATACGGGCGGAGGCGGCGTACGAGCACCATGTGCTGCCTGGTGGAAAGTGGGCGGCTGCGGGGCCACGATGTGGGAGCCATGCCCAACTCCCAGCAGAGCCCACTCTGGGACTGGGGCCCCTTTGCCTCCGTGCAGCGGGTGCCGAGGAGGACTGCAGCATCATCGAGCACGCCGCCCGAAGGGACTCCACAGGCTCCCGACCTGTTGCTGCGCTGACTGCGCGAGGCAGCTCTCACGGGGATGCCATTGCTTTGCTTAGAGAACACCTCGGCTCAGTCTGAGCGAGAGGGAGAGGCAGAGAGAGGGAGAGAGAAAAAATAGCGGCATAGAAAACTTTGCTCGGTGCTGCTTCTGTGCGGCCACGCTGCAGCCGTCCCCACTCCTGCCCCTCCTTTGCCTAATGGGGCTGTGCACCGCTGTTCAGCTGCACCATGTGAGCATCTGCGGAGTGAATTTTGCACTCTTCTAGAAGAAGCCGAGGGCATCCAGATTGAAGGAATCTGGTGCTGACTCCAGCTTTACGCTTTTAGAAGAAGCTGGGGTGGAATGGAGAATACAGCAGTGGTGTATTAAGAGATGATTTTCGGAATTAATGCCAGTTTTTTGCTTTTATGGCCTTTTTTTTTTTTTTTTTTTTTCCTGCTAGAATTGCGTTTTTGTTTCACTTTACTCTCCCTGTGACTGATTTGCCCATATCTCTGCATATATGCAACGCTCACTCACTCACATATAAATAGCGCAGCTTAAGAGTGCTTTAATGTATGTGGCGTTCTGCAGTGTCCATAGGGGATGAATAATAAAAACACTGGCACATCTTGAAGCAGCGTGATGTGAAGCACGCAGCTGGAATATTCTCCACTGAGCACGTCTTGGCAGCCGAGCCTGGACATCCAGAAAAGGGTTTGCTCTCTTCGGATTACAAAACTTTTAACAGGTTGTTGTAGCTATTAAATAAAACCCACAACAAAAACAAAGTCCCCATCTGCCAGCTCCGCTCAGTGCTGTTCTGCTCAGGCTCACAGCGCTGCTCCCATCTGCAGAATGTACACGGGGAGAGTTTGCCTTTGCTTCAAAGCGGTGACAAGGAGAGCAGTCTGGCACCCAGAGCACAAGGATTGGAATTCCCTTTCAAATGCTGATGTCAAGCTTGTCTCAGTGCCCCAGAGCAGGTTTTTGCCTGCAAAAGGCAGGTGTCTGCCTTTTTTTTTTTTTTTTTTAAATGTGCTTAAAGGTATTTGCCCTTTTTCCCCTTTCCAGCTTGAAAAGGCTCCTTTGGCTGATTCAGGGCTGGAATGCAGAGCTCGTGCTATTCCTAAATTAAGAGGTTGGCAAGTTTTTTTGTCCCTGATGAGATGCAGAAGGATTGCCCAAACGAAACAAGGACTAAAACTCTGCAAATCCTCCCACTGTGGCTCCGGCATTGTTTAGTCTTCCACTTAGGTCTGTAAAGCCAATCCTGAAATGGTTGTAGGCGGAAAGTAACATAAACCACCACGTAGCTAGGAAGCAGGGGATGTTGCTCATTGCACAAGAAGCTTTGGGTATTTTGAAGATGTTGGGAATGTTGGAACAAAACAGCGGCAGTCTGTGGAAATCGGGCTGAGAACCTCCACCCCCTCGGGGAGCCAAGGGCATGAACTCCTGCGGATGGAGGCAGCGAGACGGAGGCTCAGCACCTCCGGGGACCGGGGCCTCCAAAATAGTTCCAATGCCACTGGACCGCATGGTTTTATGGTTTATTTCAGGTCATCGCATCACCAACTTGACATAGTGCTGAGTGAAGCTGCCCGCATGCGGGACAGAGGGCTCTTACTGTGTGCGGAGCTCTTATGCCAGCCCTGAGTGAATTCATTCCTTCAGCACAGCACAGAGCTCTGCACACCGTGTTAAATTAAGGTGGATTAACAGGTTGGGCACTTGGAGCAGAGCGAGGACTGCCTGTACAGTGTCCTAGCACCCTGCTTGCTGGCATGCTGTGTCCCGGTCCCCAGTGGCCATTTTAGAACTGAGCAGGATCATTAAGGTTGGAAAAGACCTCTATGGTCATCTAGTCCAACTCCATCCCATCCCTACTGTGCCTGCTAACCATGTTGCTCAGTGCCACATCTCCACAGTTCTTGAAGACTTCCAGGGATGATGACTTCACCACCTCCCTGGGCAGCCTATGCCAGTGCATCATTGCTCTTTGCTCCTAATGGAGATGATATCCTAGGATTAAAGGATTAAGGTGCAGGCAAACTTGAGCTTGCAGGGCTGGGGCTGCCCCACTGACCAGGCTAGGGACTCCCATGGAACAAAAACAGCACCAAAATAGTTAACCATTAGCAAAGCAGTTTGCTCTAACATCCAGTTACAATCCCTATTTGGGATTTGGCCCCAAATGCCACACATCCTTCCTCATGGGTCAGATGTCAAAACCTCCATTTCCCCCTTGGCAGGCAGCTGCTAAAAGACAGTTTAATGTATTGCTCCAAAACACAGAAGACTCTGATGTTGGAGGTAGCATAATGTAAGTGGAATTTTAACAGCAACTCGAAAATCATGCCAGTAATGCTATCACTGCATTTTTCACATCCACTGAATTGCCAGGAAGACCTCTTCTTTCCCCCAGCTTTTCTACGGAAACAAAGCATTTGTCATGCTCTGCATGTTCACATGTGTATCTGCCCTTCCGCCTCCAAAGCTCCTGACCCCGCCAGATGCTCTGACATAGCCTTAAAGGTCAGAAAGGTGTAGGCAGCGGGCAGGGGAGAGCCTGGATATGAGCATCTCACATGCTCTGCACCAGTTAGCTTTCGAGTCAGAAGTGCACAGGCATGGGAGAAACTCATTACCAGAGCTGTAGCTGGGCATCCAGCTTGGCTTATGCAGGCTTGCGTATTGTGAGACATCGGAGAAGCCAGCTGCAAAGAGCCAGTCCATGGCACTGCGTTGATATTGCTGCTCCGGCTGAACTGAAGGGCTGCAGAGCTCTGGATTGTGGGAGAAGTTATTACAAGTGAAATGCAATTAATAAGAGCTCCAAGGATGGTACGTGAATGAGAAAGCATACAGCTCCTCCATCCTTGTTGCCTCTGGGATTCTGCCAGTAGATGGACCAGGTTTCCAAGGTCTCCCGCATCAGCTGTGTCTGGTCAAGGATGAAACCGACTGGGTCCTGGGCTGTTTGCCATCTTTAGATATGAAGGTAATAAATAACAACAGCTTCTTGAAAATGATGCTTCCTTCAGTGTGCTGTGATAGGGCTTACAGCGTTGTGAACATGGGCTGGAAGGAATGGGGAGTCTGGGAAGATTTCAAGGCTCTGGCCCAAAGGAGAAATGTGTTTTCATGCTGTCCCTTGGCAAATGATCTGTTTCCTTCTTGCCCTTTGCAGTTGTTTCCTTTCCTCTGGGTTTCAGGCTCATGCTCGCTGAGTGTGGTATTTGTCAGGGGAACAACGAGGAGCCCTGTCTGTGAGAAAGTCCATGTCGTTTGTTTTATCCACATCCAGGAATTGAGCCGAGATAAACAATTCAAGAGGCAAAGCAGTGAAAACTGGAATGCAAGAGGTGTGTTTGTGTTTGGCCCTGGGCAAGACCTGGCTGCAGTATTCACAGGAGCTGATGCATCCCACTGATGGGCTGCTGCCATTGTTCCCATGGACATGGTTGGGTTTGGGAGAATGGGACTTGGTGGATTCCTTTGGGGTAGTTCTTTTGCTTGAGGCTGGCAGAGTAAGACGAAGGGCAAGGTAAAATGTGAAGATGCTTTTAAAGCATTTCTGTTCTACAAGGGCTGAGCTCAGCGGTGTGCTGAGTTTCCAGGTATTCCCCCCTCCTCCATGGGAAGGTGCTGCCCAGATCAGCATGTGTGTAGCGGCACATATTGAAATCATCAGGCTCTGCTTTCCATCATGTCATGGCTAGCTGTTTGCTCCTGCCAGCGAGGTGTGTTTGTCCTCAGCACACACCTGGGGCTGGATGCAGTGTGTTTGAAGTCTGTGTCCCCTCTCCCAGTGCTGCCCCACAGCCGTGCTGAAGTGAGGAGTTACAGTGCTGGAGAACAGAACGACAACTTCAGGTGCTGTTTTGTGAATGTAGCGCCACTTGTTTTACACCAGCCAAAAAAGGAGATTGCACCTCTGGCTCTGTAAGTGTTCCCAGTGTTACCAGTTAGGGAAGATGCTGTCTGGATATAAGGAGAAAGTTTTTTTGCAATAAGGATTCTGAGGCATTGGAACAGGTTGCCCAGATATGTGGTGGATGCCCCGTCTCTGGAGAGACTCAAGGCTGGAGGGGCTTTGAGCACCTGATGGAGCTGTAGGTGTCCCTGTTTGTTGCAGGGGAGTTGGACCAGATAACCTTTAAGAGTCCCTTCCAACTTAAATGATTCTGTGACGATTATTCTACCACAAACTACCTTCAGCAGACTAAATCTGTGGCTGAAGCACATCTCTGCCCACCTTTATGGCCAGGATACTTTCACTAGTTGGCCAGGTAAGAGCTCATTAAACATGCAAGCGGGCATCTCATTACAAGCAAATGTGACAGATGTGCCATCTCAGGAGGTGCTCGAGGCCAGGTTGGA